AAATATATTCTGAGTGCAGCCTACTATGTGTCAGGCACAAATCAGGTACTTGCTAACTGTTGGTAGAATGACAAATGGAACTTCACTCAGCCTGAGAATGCAGTGTGAGTATGTGCATGTGTAGGGGGCATAAGTGTGGGATTAAAAAAAAAAAGGTGTTGCTTGAGCTAAATTTTGAAATATGAGTGGGAGTTACCCCAGTGGATAGGGGGGGCAAATAGCATTCCAGGAAGAGGTAAAAGCACATGCCAAGGCATGGAGCTATATGGGGACTCCATCATGGCTTAGATGGTATGAAGCCAGCCGGGTGCTGGATAGAAATAGGCAAGGAAACCTGCCCTCACATAAGAATCAGCCCAAAGAACTGGTTTGAGATAGTAAGCTTAAAATATTTAAGAAGGAAATATAAATTTGGATTTCAGGGAGAAAAAAACACTAGAGAATTGGATTTTCTGAGGCCAGGAAACAGGATAGCCCTGGTAAGTCCCAGGGCTGACCAGTGAGTGCATTGCTTGGCCTTTGGACCCAACAGGAAACTCCTCTTCACAGCTTAAGAGCTGGTTAAGTGATGATTGTAGTGAATCTCAGGGGCTTTCCCTCAAGGAGACCCATGAGCCTGATTAGGAGGCTAAAAGAAAAAAAGAAATGAAACAAAAAAGGAGAGAGAGAAAGCAAGCCAGTCAACCTACATATTGTTGTTTTAGGGAGAGAACCCCAGTAAGATGAAACATTTCTTAAACCAGAGATCATGTATGTAAAGGTCTTCATAGGCTATAACGTGTTATCCAAATATAAGGTACTATCATGATTATCATAAGAAGCCAAGAGTGTGGCCAGTTTACTCAGCGCATATGGGCAAAAGTAATGTGGGCAGGGCAATGGCAGGGGGGCTAAGAATATGGCTGTCAGAGATGGAGGCACAAATAGCAGTTGCTTTTCAGTGATGCCTGGGAAAAGGCATACTCTACATTGATTCCTATGGATACTCTGTAAAGCTGTAATTTTCCCCTTATTTTTCTTATTTTTTATAGTAAATGATTAGAGAAATGCAGACTGATTCTATATGAACTCTTCAAAGGCAAGGAACTCTCACGTTTATCTAGCATAGTGCCTGGCAAGTAGGTAGCACTTAGTAAACGTATGTGGGTCTCTGAGGGGATTGTTGGAAGGGGAAAAAGGATGGAGGGGGATGTTATAAAGGAAAAAATAATCATGTCTCCAGCTGGACATTGATGGTTTTGGTTTCTTGGTCCAAAGTTGGTAAGCGATTCCTGTTAGAACGTGATCATTAAGATTGAAGGGTAAAGTGGATCAAAGTCCTATTAGAAATGAATAAATCAATTTGGGAAATGAAGGTAGCAAAAACCAAGAGCACTACTGGAGAAAAGCTTGTGGGACTGGAAGATAATAGATTCTGTAGCTAAAATAAAGGAAACGATTTGCATAAATATGATCCACTTAGGAACAGGTGTACTGGGAAAAAAATATAGGGAGTATGGGAAATAGGCTGGGGAAGGTCCTATTATTCATGTTCGAGGAAGAGGAAGCACCGTCAAAAAATGGCAAATGTGGGTGGAAGAAAATCACAACAATGTGGTCAGATAAGATGTGGAAGGTTGAAGGCTGAAAAATCCACACATATTGATATACACTCAAGTGCAAATGGGTGAACCATTGTCTTCCCTTTTATTTCTCTTTGGAGAGAGCATTTTTGTTAGTTTTTTTTTGTTGTTGCTGTTATTGCTAAGGCTACCTGGTTACATCCTTCACACCCATTCTGGAATGATTTGATTTGCAGACTTATGTTGTGATTAGTAAAGAGTTAGCATTCTTAGGAGGTGATACCCAAGGTCCAATATTTGGGAGCATCTAGCAATTTTTCCAGGGTCACGAGTGGGTGTTCAATACCAAGAGCCCGCAATGAAAAGACCGCTTTAGGAATAAAACCCCAATGATAAATCTCTGAATTGGAGCAAAGATCATATTTGCAGGCTTGCTTCTTTTGATTTTCTTTTAAAATATATATCCCTGTTTATTTTGGCGTGTTAAGCAGATAAGAAGGGTCTGTACTGAAAGGACATTATAAACAACTCTGTAATGGGGTGGTTCTTAACCAATATAAACCTTTATCAATTTACTCCATTGAGCTGTCCAAGAGATGCCACACCCATGCTTCAAGCAGTAATCGAGTTAAAAACAAAAGCTAACAATTGATAAACCAGGTTCTGTTTTCTTACAAGCCTGATCTCTCTTCTCACTGTGTAACCCAAGGAGCCCAAGGAAGCCACTTCCATTAAAGGAGGCTATCACTAGGTTTGGCTAGATGGAAGAAGGGAGGATGGGAATAGGAAAGCTCTCCCAAAAAGCCTCTGTGGTGAATTCCATTGCTTAGCCTCCTCACCACTCCATTCTTGGACAAGAAACTAGAGTCTGTCCTTGGTCCCAATTCACACTCTTGGGATTCAGGTGGAATGAAAGTGCTGCCACAGCTGAGGGGGTGAGATGAGGGTACATCACTGTCTCAGGCAGGCCCTCTGCACTCCCCAGACAATGTTAAGCCCTCCTTGGTTCTGCACCTTTCCCACCCTCCTCCTCCTCATGCAGAGGCACTTTTGGACAAAAGTATCCTGAGTGTTATTTGTGGACCAATGTCTGCTGGTGCATACAGTCAGATGGCCACAGGACAGGGTATATCATGCTTCCTAAAAGTGAGCTAGTCTCTCCTTCCTCCTCCTCAAGGATTCTGTATCAGAGGGTGGTCTCAGGACGCTCCATCCTCTGAAGGGTTCCTCTAGTTCCCCGGAGCAAGTCCTATCAAAGACCACACCCAGAGGCCTCTCCCAGTTAAGTCCAGAGCCACTCAGAGGCATCTTTACAATGAGGTTGCCACTGAAGGACGACACACCCAGAAATCTGGAGATTCAGTGGAAATTAGTTCCTGCAGCAGTCTCAGTACCTATTAAAATGTCCTCATCCACTTATTTAACCATAACATTTACTGAACATATACTGAGGAAAGCCCTATGCTTGGTACCTTAATGCGACATTTAAAAACGTACATTCTTGTTTCTGCTTCTCCTTAATACTTTTTCTCAAATAAACTGAAAAAAAGATTTTATGATTCCAAGCTTTGTGACCTTGGGCAAATTGCTAAATCTCTAAAGTGCCTAATGTTTAAAAGGCTGTTGTAAGGATTATATAAGATGTTAAACATCTCTATAGAACTTGGCACATTGGTGCTCAATAATCCTACATATCCTTCCCTTTTTCAAAGGACTTTCTTGACAGGACCTGCCAGAGTAAGTCAGTCCACCAGAGTTTACTTCTTTTTTCCTGATGGTGAAACCCAGGGGCTCAAATCTCCTTTCTTTGCTTCAGAGGCCTCACTGGTCCTCCCCTCCCTTCTGCCCCGTGCTTTTACAGAAGTTCCTGCCTTCCCTAAAATCCAGCTTGCAGCCAAACAGGCTACCACTGAAAATATAAATTGTAATGGCGGGGAGGGACTGAGGGACAATGGACAAATGCAGCAGCCCCACAAGGCCTCTGCCTCTCGATCACGCCGGAGGGACACAAGTTAGGGCACACTGAGCATTAAAGGGGGTTAAGGCCAAAGTGCTTTTGGGGCACATGGCAAGTTACTCCTGGCCTGGATCCCATGGCTGCATCCTCTCCCCCAGGCAGAGTTTCCTTCTCGGCAATTCTAGCGTGCAGTCTAAGGTCTTTATATAGGGGTCGTCCCCATCGCAAAGGCTGCAGAGACTCCCTATGTTCTTAAAGGGTCTTCCCCTCAGGTCTTCCCTTGCCCTCCCTAGTTACACAGACGGTCTCTCTGGGGATGGTACACTACACATGGGCCTCCCCATGGCAGCAAATGCAGAGCGATCCCTGGAAGTCTCCGTTCTCACAGGGGGGCTTCCATGGGGGCGGCTCCCACACATTGCCTCTGGGATTCTCTCAAAGGGTAGAGGCAGCAGTCAGGTTTTATACATTTACACAGGGACTTCCTTGGGGGCAGCTCCCACACAACACCTCAGGGTCCCCAGAGGGTTGTCGGCGGCCCGCAGACCCACCCGGTAGGGTACTTGCCGAGTCCCCGCCGCCCCCGCCCCCTCTTACCCGGACCGTCAGGGCGCGGGACGCGGGTCCGGGGCTGGCGGACTCTACACCGCTGGCCCCGCGCCGCCCAGGGCC